TCTTAAAAGTCCTCATCTGATATATATTTGATAAAGACTAAGTTAGTAATACATATAAAGTTGCTAGGGGAATGTCAGGCATACAAAGGAAAATGTGTGGCACAAATAGAGGCTCAAGAATAATTGTAGTGGCCAGGCACGGTGGCTTACGCCTGTAATCCCAGCACTTTAGGAGGCCGAGGCAGGTGGATCACGATGTCAGGAGATGGAGACCACCCTGGACAACATGGTGAAATCCCGTCTCTATTAAAAATACAAAAACAAGCTGGGCATGGTGGTGCACGCCTGTAGTCCCAGCTACTCGGGAGGCTGAGGCAGGAGAATCGCTTGAACCCAGGAGGCAGAGGTTGCAGTGAGCTGATATCGTGCCACTGCACTCCAGCTTGGGTGACAGAGCAAGACTCTGTCTAAAAAAAAAAAAAAGAAGAAGAATTATGGAATGAAAGTATAAATGAACTAAACTGTTTCAGATTTTCCCATTTTCTTGATGCTTTTAACATATTCCTTTGTGTTATTTAGCTGCAAATGGCTCTCCTCGATCAACTTCATAAATCATGTTTGGGAAGTTTGATATTCTTAATATAAAGCTATTTCTCAAATGAAAGTAGGAATAAAATAACCCTGTTTCTTCTAATGGATCAGTTTGAAACAGGTCTTTGGATCTGAAAATGTTTCAAACTTTATATATAATTTCCTACCCCCAAATGAAATCACCAATGAGGTTTGAGTCAAACTGCTGTTGACTATTTTGGATGATGCCATTGATAAAAACCAGTTTGGCTGTTTGGGGTGTGTGAGCCAATTTAAGCTGTGTTTTGGCACATCTCAAATGGATTTTCCACTTCCTCCACAGATGTACGAGTCAGCAGCAAGCAGGAATATATTGATGTTTATTTTATCCTGCTGTGTCCCTAGGCAGGCATTTCTGAGTTTCCATGATGTTTTAATAACGAATTAACAGTGACATGAAAACATAGTTTTGGAGGTTTTTCCTGATTCACCATAAAGGATTTCACTTTCCTCAAACCAGATTTCCCTCACTGGATGGTCAGCAAGAAAAACAGAACCCGTTCACTAGCCTGAGATGCTGTTATTGTGAAAATGCAGGAGAGAACATACCTATTTTTCCATTTTGTGTAAAACTCCATAATATGTTAATGCATAGTAAAAATTTCTACAATTGAGTAGGAAAATTGTCTCACCAATTTATTACTCAAAGAAATGACAATAATCACAGTTGTTAAACATTTACTGTGAAGCAGATAATGTAATTGGTAAAAGTTAAGTGCCTTATTTAATTTTCAAATAGGTGTGATAAAATCTCTATCCGTATTTTTTTTCACATGAGGAAAAATTATGACTTCAATTAAGTAACTTGTCCTGAGCCACACCACTCAGCTGCAGAGGTAGACTTGAACCCATATCCGTCTGACTTCCACTCTCATACCTCTACTCTGTGCCCTGCGTTGCTTTTTAGGGCTTCAGGTGGAATCGTTGTACTTTATAAAACAAGAGCTCAGAATCAGGGAGAGTTGTTAACATTAAGGGAGAATGTTATCGAAAGGTGGTGTAGTGGTAATAAATACTGGCTCTGAAGTCAGATCACTTGGCATCAAATGCTATTCCCACCATTTATAAGCTGCTATTATTCTTACTACTATGTACCTTGTTCTGCAGCAATGTATTGCTTTACCTAAGCTTTTAAGGACACATTCACTGTGCAAATCAATGCTTCTTGTCTATTCCAACTTATTTAAAACAAAACAATTTCGTAGGTATTATTATACCCATTTCACAGATGATGAATAATTGAGACCAATAGAAGTTAAATAACATGCCAAAGGCCACACGGCTGGTGAGTGATGGAGAAAGAATTAAAACTCAGGTGAGTATAACTCTAAAAGCCATCTTCTCATTAGTGTTTCTCACTATCCAGGTCTGCCTTTGCCTCATTTAACTGAAATTAAGCCATTCTTTACCTGTGGTTACCTAGACTCTCAGTTTGGGGGGATCATTACAGTGGGTTTTTAACTCGCAACGTTCTGGTCCAGTTTGCTTTACATGTTCTTATTTATACATTGTCAAGGATGACCTCTGGACAGTGCAGTGAGGACACAGTGGCACTTCACATTTTGTTCCCACGAAATGACTGGGGCATAATCTCAGATCATCTTCCTTTAGAATGTGGAAACATCAGCAGAAGAACATTAGTCTTTATTCAAGTCAAATCCAAAATGACACATGTGAAGAATAATAGAGCTGACTTTCAGCCATGATAGCTTTGGCACACCTCACATCCCATTGTTCAACCTCTCTTCCCTCAGCGGAGAGCTGCATTCCTGGGAATTTCTGTTGCGCACTTTTCCCACTTGCCCTGCTGTCATTTAAAGGTGAACATTCTAGTTTTGCTAAGAAAACCCTTTCCTTCATTTGTAATGAATAGCAATTTTATTACTTTTGACCTTAAAATGAGTTTCCTGCCTTCAAATCTTTTCATTACTACCATTAGCAAATTCAAAGAAATATTTTCAGGTGGACCCTAATGAAAGGCTAACTCTAAAGCCCTGCTACTCAAAGTGTGGTCCACGGTGGAGCAGATTCTCATCACCTGGGACATGTAGAAATGCAGAATCCCAGGACTCTCCCAAACAACCTATTAAATCAGAGTCTGCATGTTTACAAGACCCACAGGTGATCTGTAAGCATGTTCAACTTTAAAAAGCATTGATCCAAAAAAAATACAGACTACAGGTGGTCACATTATAAAAGAAACAGTCAATCAGCAATGTGCAGAGGTGTGTTACTTAACTGGATCAGCTTTCTAAAAGTAAGGCCTGGTGCAGTGGCTCACACCTGTAATCCCAGCACTTTGAGAGGCCAAGGTGGGAGGATAGCTTGAAGCTGGTAGTTCAAGACCAGCCTGGGCAGCAAAGAGGACCCTATAGCTACAAAATTTTTTTTTAATTAGCCAGGCATGGTGGTGCATGACTGTAGTCCCGGCTACTTAGGAAGCTGAGGTGGGAGGATAGCATGAGCCCAGGAGGTCAAGGCTGCAGTAAAGTATGACTGTGCCACTGCACCCCAGCCCGGACAACAGCAAGACCCTGTCTTAAAACAAACAAACAAACAAAAAAAAAAAACCCTAAACAGCTCATAATGTGATTATTTTATGTAATGACAAGTCCTCGGTCCACAGGTCCTGTGGTTGTGATGATATTAATTTGGAAAAGACTCCTTCATTTTAGGAATCAGCAGCCCAGACAAAGTGGCTGATAGGGGAGAGGCTAGATCATTCCAGGCAGAACAAAGGGAGGTCACCTCAGCTGGCATTCTGTACCTTCCTCCCAGCAGACAGCATCAAGAGCACCAGAAGTCTACCTGCCCGTCCAGGCCTGGAACCTTAGAATACAATTCATTGTATTAAATAATGTTTGCAACACCCTCTCCTTCAACTGCCATCACATAGGTGGACTGGTCTAAAGATTTAGCTTAAGGCCCAGTTTTATTTTGAGAGAAAGACATCATCACATCATTGCCTCTGGGGTAGTAGAAAGCCTTAATAATCCTCCCTTAGAGGAGGCTTTCAAAATCCTCCTGCAAAATTCTGGTGTTTTCTGAGCTAGACCTGGGTACTCGACTGCTAAAATTAAATCATGGTCCTTTTCCAAGAATGGCAGCCTGCAAAGAGGACCCTAATTCTTCATTCCTCCCCGCATCCCTGACTCTTTGTCATTTCAACTTGTAGTGCCCTCTCACTCTGACACTAGGCTCAGCTACTTAACTGGCTTAGGTCAATACAATGAAGCAGAAGTGACAGTGTACAATTCTCAGCCTAGGTTGCAAGGAGCCTCATGTCTACATCTCATGTACATGAGATGAGGCTCCTTGCAACCTAGGCTGAGAATTGTACACTATGACCTTATACTACCTTAGCCTGTTATAGTTTAAGGAACTAAGCAAAGTTGCCCCAGCCAAGGCCAGCCTACTAAGCCTATAGCCAGGCAACACTATATATGTAAGGAATCCCAGCCAAGGTCAATACATCCATCTAATCAACACAGCTGACTTAGACTCACAAGCTATAAATGCTCATTATTGTATGCCACTGTGGTTTGTGGTTATGTTACACAGCATTATTGTGGCAATAGAAAATTGGTACACTGGCCGGGCACAGTGGCTCATGCCTGTAATCCAAGCACTTTGGGAGGCCACGGCAGGCAGATCATGAGGTCAACAGATCGAGATCATCCTGACCAACATGGTGAAACCCCGTCTCTACTAAAAATACAAAAAATTAGCTGGGCGTGGTGGTGCACACCTGTAGTCCCAGCTACCTGGGAGGCTGAGGCAGGAGAATCACTTGAACCCGGGAGGCGGAGGTTGCAGTGAGCTGAAATCATGCCACTACACTCTAGCCCAGTGACAGAGTGAGACTCTGTCTCAAAAAAAAAAAAAAAAAAAAAAAAAGGAAAAAAGAAAATTGATATACCAAGTAACCAATTAAATTAAGTTACTGATGGATATTCCCCTTCTAAAATTCTTATTTATATTTAATCTTCTCCTGAAAATATTAACTTCCATTAAGGGTATTTAGGGACAAGCAAAGCAATGTATCACATGAAAAATCAAATAAGAAAGCTCAAAATAGTCAGTAGTTTGGCAATGAACACTTGTTTTCATTGCTATGATTTTCATATTACATACATGTAACAGAGTCATATATCCATAAGTACCATGATGCCCTTAGTAGAACATATGAAATATTTCATTTGATCTCACGATGTAGGCACAATATCTAGTTAAGGGGTTGGATTGCATAGTTTCCTTTATCTCTAACATTCCATGTACCAGACACAGCAATGCATGGAAAGAGGCAGGCAAGATCGTCAAGCTCTACACTCAGGTAGCACATGCCCTGCCCCTGAGGGATCAGCTACCAAACAAAAGGTGTGTGTGTGCCTCAGTGGGCCTCACCTGCCCAAAACTTAGGGGCATGTTACCTTGTTGACGCATCTTCATGGTTCGTATCCTTATCGCCTCTCCTCGAACTCGCCCTTCACAGAAGTAAGCACCATTGATCTTACTAGCCTTTTCTCTCTTCCAAACAACTTTTTTAGCCCATTCTCTGGTCACATCTTGAGTAACTTCCAGTGGATCCTGGTGCTGGTTCATTAAGGCTTCAAAGTCCCTTCCTATGGTGATGGGCTCATGGGGGTGCCACCCAGAGGCAATGCAGGTGAGAGATGTTTCGGCATCAGATACAAGAGGTAGGGAATTGATCAAGATCAAGTCCATGGCACCTTCCACAGTTCCTAAAAGGAAAGAGAGAGAATAATGTATGACTAAGGTTATTAACATGACCCCATAGGGTAAACTGGTGCTCACAAAGCCTTGTCTTAAAAAAGTTGTGTGAGTATTCTTTCTACAATGCTACTCTGACCATGTGCCTATCTTCCACTGGACAAAATCCAAAACTCTTTGCCAAGGCATCAAGACCCTTCATCAGTTAGATCCTGCTAACGTCCCCTGGCCCACTGCATACCCTAGTTGCAATGGACTACCCATTATTCCCCCAACAAGCCATGCACTAGACATAGTTGGGTATTCAGGAAATGTATGTTGTATTAAGATGAATTAATAATAATGATATTATAATCATTATTCATTATATTTATTAGTTATTAATTGATGCTAATGTGATACTGTCACAATAATAAAGTATTCTAAAGAAATATATCAACTACATAAACTTATGCCTTATAGATTCTCATTTTGAAAGAAATGCTCAATTCCACATTAAATACCTCAAGATAAATGACAAACGGTGACTAAGTGAAGTCTGCATTTCCCTCAGGACCTCATTTACTCCATCAGGACTCTTGTAAAGATTAAATAAGATAAAATACATAACCCTTGCCAACCACTCTGTCTGTTATATATTGCATACTCGGTGATTATTATTTCATTTCTCTTTATTCTGTTTCCTGAACACTTCGTCCCAAACCTTACCCTCTCCCCAAATGTAAAAATAAAACCTTGCCCAAACTTTAAATTTTATTTTATGAATTTGTTCTGTAAATGAGGAAGTACACTTTTAAAAAGAAAATCCTCTCACATTATTTTCTCACTATTTCTCTTTCTCTCTCTCTCCCCTCCCCGCTACTCCCACCACTGTTTTGATTTCTAAAGGTTCTAACATGAGCAGATAGAGTCTGTGCCTATTGTCTCCTCTTCAAATGTGGAAGTATCAGGGATGGAAAATGTTCTCTAGCTCCAGTGATGGTTGGCTCTCAAGTCTGCATAAAACAATCAGGAGACTAGAAAGAGCAACTGAGTGATGAGGGCCCAACTAGAGTCTCAGAGACCTTTGTGTAGAAGTGATTCAAATAAGCGACATGTTATCTTATTGAATACCCATTAAATTCAGCAACTCTGTGAGGTATGCAGCATTATCTCAATTTTAAATATGAAGAGATGAAGGCTCAAAAGATTGAGCAGCTAGTTTGATTTTTCACAGCTATTGAAGGCAGAGCTGGGATTCAAATGCTCACTGGTCTTTCAGTCCTTGAATACAAGATGCTGTTTCCTACCTCAAAGCCTTTGCTGTTCCTTCTGCCTGGAATGCTTTTCTCCACTCTTGGCATAGCCACCTTCTGCTTGTCCTTTGGGTCTCAGCTTAAGTGCCACTTTGTCATAGAAGACTTCTCTACCTGCCTTATCTATAATACCTATACACTCTCATCCCATTGTCCTCTAATTTGGCCTCCTGGTTTATTCATAATGATTACCATAATTTGTGAATATTTTATTTACTCTCTCTCTAAATGGTAAACTCCAAATGTTCTGTATATGAACAGGAATTTAGGAATTGGTTTACATGGAATATTCTCCCTAATCTCAACATATAGAGGACTTAAGTGTTTGTTGGATGAGTGGATGGATGGATGGATGGATGGATGGATGGATGGATGGATGGATGGACAAATTTTATTTCAGATCTGCTTGATTCAAGTCCATCCATTTACTTGGCTTCCAATTCTAGAATAAGGTTAAAAATGAAAGTGCGGGCTGGGTGCAGTGGCTCACGTCTGTAATCCCAGCACTTTCGGAGGCCGAGACAGGAGGATCACCTGAGGTCAGGATTTTGAGACCAGCCTGGTCAACATGGTGAAATCTTGTCTCCACTAAAAATACAAAAATTAGCTGGGTGTGGTGGTGTGTGCCTGTAATCCCAGCTACTCAGGAGGCTGAGATGGGAGAATCGCTTGAACCCAGAGGCGGAGGTTCCAGTGCTGCACTCCAGCCGGGGCAACAGAGAGCAAAATTCTGTCTCAAAAAAACAAAAAAAAACAAAGTACTCCCCCGAGTCTGAACTGACCTCCTTGCCCATATTTAACTGTTTTGACAGCTACTGAGTTCATAGGGGAAAAAACATTACAGTTTTTGCAAAATGCCAAAGAAAAGTGTTCAATGACTGCTGAGCGTTTAAGGCTATTATTCATTTACCAGAATTTTTGAGCACCTACTTATGTCAAGCATTGTACCTGATACAAAGTCCTCATACAATTTGTTTTTAATGGCAATTGCCAGTGTTTACTGTATTCAGTGATGTTTTGAGGATAATCTTGGTACAAATTAAACCTTTATCTGAATGATTAGGAAGAAAAATTTCAAAGTCAAGTCTTCATGTAAGCAGGAGTTACAGCTGCATTTTATTGTAATATTAACTCATTACATGGGATTGAGGGAGAAAATCTCCATTAGAATGAGTTCCCAAGCCTGGCCTTGAAGCATCCATTTTATTTCTAGCCTCACTGGTAACTTTTAAGATCTCAGGACAGAGAATACAGGTTAGGATAATAAAAATATTGAAAGAAAGGATGAGCTACAAACCTAGCAGTGGAATTACAGCCTCCAAAAATAACACCAGCACGCACCTCCCCTTCCACGTACATACCCAGGCCTGACACTGAGTGAACACCACCTCATCTCTTACACTCACACATTCCAGGCATGTTCCAGAAAGGGTCATCAAGAGGAAGGAAACACTGTAATTCTTTCAACTCCAGTTCAATCCAGCCCCATTTCTGGGGCCAGTCGAGAGTCTTGCCAAAACCACAGGATCTGCTCGGAACTCACAGCACTGGCAGTGGCCGGGGTTTATTTAATAGCTTTAGGAAATAATAGAAAATGTAGTTGATTGGAAAAGACAACCACACTATGTGTAAACTGTTTCTAGGTATGGTTCTAGTTTATTTTTCCTCTTGCTCCTTTCGGAGATCTCCCTTTACTTTCAGTGACAGAAAAGGAAATGTGGCCTCTGGGAGTCTGGACTTGACTATACTTCGCTTCCCTTGTTCAGCATGCCGGTTAACAAAGCCCTCTTCCACCAGCCAGTGCTCTGTCCTTTGTAACACCATTTACAGTATCAGAAGGCTCTTCTATGTGAGCTTTGGGTATAGAAAGACATACCTACCAGCTTCCTAGGATGGATCTTGAAAATCGCCTACTTAGTTTTCTTAAAATGAGAATCTATAGCTGTATTTGCTAGTATCTGCCTAAAGAATTTCTAGAAGGTGACACATAAAAATAAGAACAATGATGACCTACTGGGGGGAACTGGGTAGTTGGGGCACAATGGTAAAAGGAAGACTTTTCACTATACGTTTGTGTGTACTGGCTTTTGAACAATGTGGCTATTATTCGCACATAAAAATTAAATGTAAACAAAATGTTATGGCCCATTCCTTAAAAAGGGGCAGCTGGAGGCTGGGCATGGTGGCTCATGCCTGTAATCCCAGCACTTTGGGAGGCCGAGGCAGGAGGACACCTGAGGTCAGGGAGGGATAGCATTAGGTGAAATACCTAATGTAGATGATGGGTTGATGGGTGCAGCAAACCACCATGGCACGTGTATACCTATGTAACAAACCTGCACGTTCTACACATGTATCCCAGAACTTAAAGTATAATAAAAATAAATAAATAAATAAATAAATAAAAGAGAGAGAGAAAAATGTGCAGCTGGAAAAGAATCAAGAGCCATGGACATTTATGTCCCTTTATATCTCATCCTTCATCCCTATACCCACTCCAAATCTCAAATTACATCCAAATAATGCATTTTTCTCTTTCTCTCTTCTTTAAACTAATAATAGGAAATGTGATGTTATCTCACAATGCTGAAAAATAAAGGAGTTAAAACTTAATGCTGAAAAAAAAAAAAAGTAGCCAAACTTAGCCTTTTAGAAAGAATAGAGCAGAGGCTCGACGACAATGAGTACAACTGTGGTCAGTGGCTTCTTGAAAGAGTTCTGCTGCAGACGCCATGAAAGGCATGGCTGCAACTGCATATCTGGTGCCACTCAAGAAATTTTCTATTAGGGACATTTCTTGAGAATCATTGTCAGAAGACAGATCCTATCTGGGCTCATGCCAATATCAATCTCTCTGCTTAATACCCTTTTTCTTACATTATAGCACTGTCCTCTCCAAATCATGCTGGGGACGGATAGTGAGTTGTTTCATCACAACCATATCTAAAGGGCTCTGATCAAATTCATTCATAGTTTAATTCATACTTCTAACATAAATGCTAATAACTTGCTAAAACAAGATGCATATTAATATCACACATCTAATATGTTTTAGAGATTAATGCTATTTTTCCTTAACAAAGATCTCTCAAACACTTTTTCTTTTTTTGAGACGGAGTCTCACCCTGTCGCCCAGGTTGGCATACAATGGTGCGATCTCGGCTCACTGCAACCTCTGCCTCTTGGGTTCAAACAAATCTCCTGCCTCAGCCTCTCGAGTAGCTGGGATTACAAGTGCCCGCCACCATGCCCAGCTAATTTTTTTTGTATTTTTAGTAGAGGTGGGGTTTCACCATGTTGGCCAGGCTGATCCCGATCTCCTGACCTCGTAATCCGCCTGCCTCGGCCTCCCAAAGTGCTGGGATTACAGGTGTGAGCCACCACACCCAGCCTCAAACACTTTTTCAATGTTTGCATAAAAGTATGTCTTTGTTTATAAGGAAATACTTAGCATTGTGGCATGACGTCTGCCAAGTTAATAACCAGGCATCACAATTGAAGCATAACAATGTTCTAAAATGTTTTGCTCACTGTATTTTCTGTGTGCTATATTGAACAGTATCTAATCTTTCTTAGTAGCGTCTTCTCACTAAATCTTATTATGGTGAACTCAATGTTGTTTAACTCTAGTTTTTATATTTACATTTTCTTGTATTCAATATTGCTACGAATAATGGGCCATTAACTAAGACATGGGAATATTTTTATTTAAAAAT